TAATGAATAACAGTTTTAAATACGCATTATATTAGATATTATGTTCTGAATTCCATATAAAAATATTGACCATGAAGTGTCACCGATAGAATGATCCTTTGACCATTTGCATTCAGTGGACGTCATAACCAAATTTGTTATCGCCATCTTAGTAACGCAGGTAGGTATACAATTCAAGATCAGCAGAACCAATTTTGTGTTGTTAGCTTCAATATTAGAGTTAATTAACCTATTATCAGTTTAAAAGAAAGACCATTGCCTGTGTTTGTACCGTCGGTGTTAAACGATATTTTAAATATTCATAATTTGCTTAAAAAATTCAATAAGTATCGTATGAAAATCAAAAAACGAACAGTGTAATGTTTGTTTTTTAAGTTTTATATTCAGTAAATTTGCTTWAATATTAAAACTAACAACTCGAAATTGGTTTTGTTGGATGTAAATTTGTCATTTGTGCGTTTATAGGATGGAGATAATATAATATAATATTATTCTGAGACCACGAGGGTAGACGTCGTTCTCATTGTTTGTTTAATACCATTAAATTTATATATATATATATATATATATATTGGACATTATTTTTATACTACCTCCTGTATATATTTATTCTTTTCACATATAAAATGAAAAATTGTCTTTATATTTTAATTCAAGTATGTCACATAATATAATCCAATGATTGTATAGTAGGGGGACCTACTAATTTATTATTGATGTATACAGTAGATTCGACAAAATTTCTAACATCATTAATAAAAAAATACACGTAATGTCAGTTTCAAAAYAGAAATCAATAGTGAAAACAATACTACTTTAGTATTCTTAGGACAATATAACAACACATGGCTATGTATAATTTTGATTAATTATAAAAACAGTCGATATTGGTATTACACAATACATTAGCATTTATACTTCAAAAAATAAGCTGAACATCATGCAAACACACGGATTATAAATAAACACAGCGATCACCATATAATATAGCCATAAAGACACCTAATTATTATGCATTACATATTGTTATATTAAAATTTGTTCAGTGTATGTATAAGATGCGTATTTTTCGATTAGCTTTTCTGTGCATTTAAAT